TAGATAACTTATTGAAAGTTTTTCTTGTTTTTTGAGGTATGCCTGTAGTGCTATGAACTTTCCTTTCAGGACTGCTTTTGCTGTGTCCCAGAGATTTGGAGTTGTTGTGAGTTCATTTTCATTTGTTCCTAGAATTTTTTTTTAATTAAATCTTTATTGTTCAGATTATTACATTTGTTCCTCTTTTTGCCCCCCATAACTCCCCTCCTCCCAGTTCCCACTCCACCCTCCGCCCTCACTCCCCACCCACTGTCCTCATCCATAGGTGTACGATTTTTGTCCAGTCTCTTCCCGCATCTCCCACACCCCTTTCCCCCCCAAGAATAGTCAGTCCATTCCCTTTCTATGTCCGTGATTCTATTATAATCACCAGTTCATTCTGTTCATCAGATTATTTATTCACTTGATTCTTAGATTCACTTGTTGATAGATGCATATTTGTTGTTCATAATTTGTATCTTTACCTTTTTCTTCTTCTTCCTCTTCTTAAAGGGTACCTTTCAGCATTTCATATAATCCTGGTTTGGTGGTGATGAACTCCTTTAGCTTTTCCTTATCTGTGAAGCTCTTTATCTGACCTTCAATTCTGAATGATAGCTTTGCCGGATAAAGTAATCTTGGTTGTAGGTTCTTGGTAATCATCACTTTGAATATTTCTTGCCACTCCCTTCTGGCCTGCAAAGTTTCTGTTGAGAAATCAGCTGACAGTCGTATGGGTATTCCCTTGTAGGTAACTGAGTTTCTTTCTCTTGCTGCTTTTAAGATTCTCTCTTTGTCTTTTGCTCTTGGCATTTTAATTATGATGTGTCTTGGTGTGGTCCTCTTTGGATTCCTTTTTTGGGGGGTTCTCTGTGCTTCCTGGACTTGGAAGTCTATTTCTTTCACCTGGTAGGGGAAGTTTTCTGTCATTATTTCTTCAAATAGGTTTTCAATATCTTGCTCTCTCTCTCATCTTCTGGCACCCCTATAATTCGGATGTTGGTACGCTTGAAGCTGCCCCAGAGGCTCCTTACACTATCTTCGTATTTTCAGATTCTTTTTTCATTTTGCTTTTCCAGTTGGGTGTTTTTTGCTTCTTCGCATTTCAAATCTTTGACTTGATTCTTGCACTCCTCTGGACTGCTGTTGGGAGTCTGTATAATATTCTTTATTTCAGTCAGTGTATGCTTAATTTCTAGTTGGTTCTTTATCACAACATCGAGGGTCTCATTAGATTTCTTGAGGATCTCACTATATTTATGGGCGGTCTCACCAGTCTTTTTGGGGGCCTTACTAAGTTTATCGGCGGCTTCTAGACAGTTCTTGAGAGACCTTAAAAGTGTGGTTTTGAACTCTATATCCTCCATTTCTGTCAGTTGTGCCCTGTTTCTTTGTCTCTGCATTTTTTATGCTTTCTTGGTGCACCCCCTTGTGGTCTTTGTGTGCAGTCTTGTTGTAGTTAAGCATTGATTATTGTAGGTAATACTGGGGGGGAGGGGATTTGACCTCCAGGCCAACTGGCTGTGAGAATCAGCTGTTTCTGCAGGGGGAGAACTTCTGTCCTCTAGGGAGGTGCTAATCTAGCCTTTCCCTAGGGCTATCCCACAAATGCCTCTGTGCAAGGCTCGGGCAGGGTGGGTCCCAGGGGATCAACAGGGTGGGCTAAGCAAGCAGTTATGGCTGCTCTCAGTCCCGTCCCCAGAGACTCTTCCTCTCAGAGTCCTAGCAACCACTGCAAACCTCAGAGAGAAAGCTGCCCTCGAATTCCGACCGATGCCAGACAGTCCTGCTTCTTCCGTTTGAGTCTGGGTCTCCAGAGACTCACCCGGAACTGGAGCTCAGAGCCTGAGATGCCCTCTGGATTGAAACAGACAACCTCTCCCTCAGCCGCCAGCCTGCTCCACACGCACCTCCCCACCTTTGTATTTTCCGCACTGCGCCTCCTCTGAGTCTCGGTATGCTTTTCTCTTTCCTTCTAGTTGTAGAATTTCCCCTCAGCCAGCCTTCCTGTGGTTCTGGGTGATGTCCGTTCCATCTTTTAGTTGTATTTTTGAAGTGGTTGTGCGAGGCAGCAATCTCTGGTGTTTACCTATGCCACCATCTTTGTTTCTCCTGTTTCTTTGTATTCTGGGAATTTTTTTTTTATTTCTTTCTTGATCTCTTTGGTAACCCATTCATCCTATATAATAAAGAGCTAATATGCTAATTAGACCGGTCCCTGAAACGACCTTCTGGAATGACCAGCCTGGGCCTCAAGGGCCTACTCTTGCATGAATTTTGTGCTTGGAGCCTCTATTTGTTTAATAACATTCTATTTAGCCTCCATGTGTTCTAATGTTTTTGAATGTTTTTACTATAGTTGATTTTTAATTTCATTCCATAAGGATCTGAGAAGATGCTTGATATGAATTCAGTCTTCTTGAACTTGTAAAGACTTGTTTTGTGTCTTAATATATGATATAACTTTGATAATGAACCCTGAGCACTTAAGAATAATGTATTTTCTGCAGCTTCGGGGAAATGTTTTATAAATGTCAATTAAATCCATGTGATCAGTGTATCATTTAGAGTCACTGTTCCCATGTTAATTTTTCGTCTGAAAGATCTATCTAGTCAAGTTAGCTGGGTGTTAAAATCCCCTACTATGATTTTATTACTTGTCAATCTCTTCCTTAAAGTACTCCAGAAGTTTCTTTTTATATATTTAGGTGCTCCTATATTGGGTGGATATATGTTTACCTGGGTTATAGCCTCTTATTGGCTTTATCCCTTTAGTATTAGGTAGTGACCTTTACTGTCTCTTTTGATGGCCTTCATTTTGATGTCTATTTGTCAGACATGAGTATTACTACCCTGGCTTTTTCTCATTTCCATTTGAATGAAAAGTATTTTTCCATACCTTCACTCTCATTCTGTGTGAGTCTTTTGTTCTGAGGTGGGTCTCTTGTAGACAGCATATAATTGGATCATGTTTTTATGTTTTTGTATCCATTCAGCTACCCATGTCTTTTGATTGAAGCATTTAATCCATTTATATTTAAGGTTATTATAGATAGGTACCTATTTATTGCCATTTTAATTCCTTATGTCTATGTTTCTCTCTTTCTATTTCTTCTTCTCATTAGAGTATTCCCTTTATCATTTCTTTCAGTGCTGATTTTGTGGTGATAAATTCCTTTTTTGGGGGAGAATCTATTTCATCATCTATTTTTAATTATAATCTTGCTGGATATAGTAATCTTTATATCAGAGTCTTGTTTTTCCTTATCTTGGATACTTCATGGCATTCCATTTTGTCCTGTAGAGTTTCTGATGAAATATCAACTGACAGCCTAATGGGAGCTCCTTTGTAGGTAACAAATTGCTTTTCTCTTGTTGCCTTTTAGATTGTCTCTCTGTCTTTAATTTTTGGCATTTTAATTATGATGTGCCTGAGAGTGGATCTGTTTGGGTTCTTCTTGCTTGGTAGATCTGTGCTTCTTCAACTTGTGTGACTTTTTCCTTCACCAGGTTTGGGAAGTTTTATGCCATTATTGATTCAAACACTTTCTCTAGCCTTTGCTCACTTTCTTCACTTCCTGGTACTCCTCTGATGTGAATATTGTTAAGCTGTCCTCCTGTTCTTTAATTGTTTTTTATTTTTGGTTCTCTGATTAAGTGAAGTTTTTCATCCTGTTTTCTACTTCACTGATCCGATCCTTGGCTTTCCCTTATCTGCTGTGTGTTATTTCCACTGCATTATTTATTAGTGCCATCTCATTCTTGATTTCCAACTGGTCTTTCTTCATAGTTACTATGTCTTTCCTCATGCTGTTGAGCATCCTTGCCATCATTATTCTGAACTCTATATCTGATAAATTTCTTATCTCAATTTTATTTAGCTATTTTTCTGAAGAATTCTCTTATTCTTTCCGTTGGGGCTTGTTTTTTTCTCCCCAGTTTAGCTGCCTGTTTGGGTTTGTGTCTTTGATTTAGGGAGGTCTGCTACAAGTCCCAATCTCTAGTGCAGGACAATGTCAGATGCTGTTTGTGACTGGCCCTGCATATCCTGTTTGAAACTATGAGTAACCCACAGCTTGTGGCTCCCTTTGATGGGTCTGGATGTCTTTGGAAATGACCAAGATGTGCACCAGGATCTGATTTCCTAGCCCCAGACTCAGGAGGAGAACAGGGAAAGACTCAAAGCCTCCAGACATCTTCCTCTGCCTGCAGTGTGATTGATATTCAGTCTTGATTTTCCTCATGCTATTGAGCACAAAGTGGGATGAGAGGTTTTCCAACAATTCAATTGCTCCCCCACCCTCAGGCAAAAACTGCCTGGATGGTAAAGGTTTGCTCGAGAAAGATGCTCACTAGAGTGTGAGGGAATGACTCATCACAGGAAACTGTGGTTGCTGTTTTCTGAACTCTAACCCCAGAATACTCAATCCTGAATTCTCTTCACACAGTTCTAGTCCACTCTGCCCTCCCTCTGCTGGATCCAAAGCTGATTGGCTGCACATAAAATTTTGTGCATTAGCCTTTTAAGAGGGTGCCTGCATTTCCAGCCATCTCTCACTGGCAGACAGAAACTCTGGTGCTTCTCACAGCCAGATGTTATGTGGGTACCTTTCTCAGTTCTGATGCTCTGGGCTGGGGCTCCCAGCTTGGGGTTTAGGCCCCAGGGTTCTCAGTGGAAACTCCCCACATCTGAGATATGCCTCCAGAACTTCAGCTGCTGGGAGCCTGACCAACCCTTAGCTCCTCCGTACTTCCTACCAATCTCTATGTGGTCTCCACTTTCCATTCTTGGCTATCAGTGTTCTCTCCAGCTAGACTTCAGTTGATTATTCAGGATGGTTTTTCTGTATTTTAGTTGTAATTCCAGTTTGGTCCTTGGAGAGTGTTAGTGTAGCTTCCATTTATACCACCACCATTTTGGAAACCACCTCTCAATATTTTATCTTAAAATTTAACACTGTACCAATATAGTCTTAATTTCTTTCATTTATTAAATTCATTTTTTTACTTTCTAATTTTAGCAGGTTCTAAGCAGAAGACTACACAGCCTACTGGGGTAAGTTAAAAATTCTTAAATGAATTGAGTCTGATAACTTGATGTTTTCATCTGAGGAATCATAACTGAAATATTGAACCCTTTTGGTGTCTATTTAGTGTAACATCAAATTAAGAGAACTTTGAAGTCATTTCATAAACTTTGCATAATTGAATCCAATTCTATTTTAAAACCTATGTTTGTTCATTTAGTAGCAATGAGATAGAATAAGTGATTCCTTGTGATACTGCCGATTTCTCATACCCAGTATTGTGAAGTTTATGTGTAAGAATAATGGTCATTGTCTCTGCTGAAGAAAAGCTGATTCTAATATATTGCCTCACCTGTTGTATTTATTTGATGTGCATGTACAAAACAGTATTTCAGGCTTAAAATGAGGGCTAAATTTTTTATTAAATTGATTTTATTTAAAATAATAATTTATAAAATTAATGTAAATATTGGTTAAAGTATTTGTCCTGAATTATGATTCATTTCCCTCATTTTATAAGCATTTTTCTTCCTCCAAACTGTACTGTTGTTTTCACTATCTCTTGGATATCTTATCAAGCTATCTGAGAAAATTCCAAGAAAAGGAACATATTTAGGAGATAAAATGAGAGAAATAAATTAGGGGGCTTAAAAGAAAACCTTTATAAAGAGAGACTCATCATGGTGACAGGCACAAAAGCTACTTTTTGCAAATAACATTGGAAAGGGCTGTATTGTACTCATCTTCCCATAAAGGATTTAATGGCAGCTGTACCTGGAATGCCACAGGTGAGACTCCTGTGTGGCAGGAAGTGGGGATTGCATATGCTGCTAATTCTGATGAGCCTCAACAGACATGCCTGAAAGGCAAGGGGGAGTAGGGGTGCTCTACCATGGGTGTTTATTCTAAGACTGGTGCCATAGCTACACTGTCACAAACACACAGCAGCTTTTCTTGTGCCTCTGTCAGAGCTTATCCAGCCACTAAATCCTAACACATTTTCTTTGCATGACTTACAAATGATTGTTTTGCTCTTATCTCTTGTTTAACTGTATTATTTATTATGTTGCTATGTATTTTGGACTTCAATAATTTTTTCAAGATGCTAGGTTTTCTTGAACTGTGATGGACTAGGTGGGGTAGCAAATTCTGCACAGAAAAAGAATGTTGAGGATAAGACACTACTTAAACTATTAGTGAGACTTGGCAAGCTTTCCTTTTTAACCTTTATTGCCTTGGTTTTAGACTACAGGATTCACCATTTACTACATACTTTAAATGTTAGTGTATGTAAATTTTAGTATGAAGGACATGAAATAGATTCTATTTTTATATAAATACTAGTGGCCTGGTGCTTGAAATTTATGCACATTAAAAGGGAATTAATTAGAGGAAATATGTTAATATTACTATTTGCCCTTTCTCTATAATACAAGTGTCAGAGATGAAAGAAAATTAGTAAAATGTATATATAAATCTCCCTCCTGTCAGATTCTGGGCCACACAGTGGGACCCAGAGTCAAGTCCCCACCCACCCACATGTGCCTCGAAATTGTGCGAGACCCAGACCTGGCCAGCTCTACCCCGTCAAGCCCCGCAGGCAGGGGGCACAGCCTCAGGTCCCCCAGCCCAGGGCTGGGGTAGGTGGTGCAGCCTCAGGTTCCCTGGCCTGGCCTCTGGCCCCCTGGCCCTGGTGCCAGTGTGTGGGGGGGTGTATCCTCAGCTCCCCTGGCCCAGCTTCAGGTTCCCCAGCCCTGGCACAAGGGTGTGAGGGCGCAAGGGCATGAGGGCAGGAGTGTATAATGACCATTTGCATATTAGCTCTTTGTTATATAGGATATTTGAAATATTCTTCAGAAAGCTCTAAAGCAGTGCTTTTCAACCTTCCTAATGCCACGACTTTTTAATACAGTTCCTCATGTTGTGGTGACCACCAGCCATAAAATTATTTTTGTTGCTACTTCATAACTGTAATTTTGCTACTGTTATGAATCGTAATGTAAATATCTGATATGTAGGATGCATTTTCATTGTTACAAATTGAACATAATTAAAGCATAGTGATTAATCACAAAAACAATATGTAATTATATATGTGTTTTCTGATGGTTTTAGGCGGCCCCTGTGAAAGGGTCATTCGACCCCCAAAGGAGTCGCGACCCACAGGTTGAGAACCACTGCTGTAGAGGAACCCCTTAATGATATGTGATTATGACAAACTTGTATATATTTCTTGATCCATTAACAGAGCATAATTTCAATTAGTCCCCAAAGCAATTAGAATATTTTCTCTGTGCCTTGGGGAAAATCTACTGTTTTGTTTTTTTTCTACCTTGACCTCTCTTTTTATTTTTAATATTAATCAAGAAATAAAAGTTTTGCTATAATATTATCACCTCTGAGAAAAATGCACTCCTCTGTGTCTCCCAAGTAGTTGCATGCATTCGCAAGTGATATTGGGCAAGGGGACTACTGCATTCTTATATTGGCCAAAATGAAGTCTATAGCGCCCCCAATATAGAAGAACCTCAATTAATTACAATTTCTGATTTATACATTTTAGGAAGATATAGTCTCTCACCATGGAATTAGACCAACATATTTCACTTTCTTTCTCCCTAAATCTAGATCTATATTCTCAACTGACTATTTCCTTTGTGGGGGGGCTATGGGTATGATCCACAGAAAGGCATTGTAATCAGATGCCTTAAAATTAATTTGTATTGACAGCTTTGGAATAGTTGGCATGATCATGATATTACTACCTAGTTGTTTATTTAGAAACTAGAGGCCCAATGCACAAAATTCATGCAAGGGGCTCAGCTCTCGCAGCCCTGGCTTCATCTGGAAGGTTGTTTGTCTGTCTGGTCTAATTAGCATATAATGCTTTTGTTATTATAGGTGATTTTTAATTCTGGAACCTTACTAATTACTTGCTTGGCTTGTTACTAAATTCTTGGCATTTAAAGAATTGAAAGGAATGATGAATAATGGTAAGTATAAAAAGCACATACAATTATAGATTGGTTAAAATACGGACATTGAAAAGAAATAAAATTGCTTCCTGGAAATATGGCGTTTTAAATAAAAGGGACACTGTCAAAGCATAAAGGTTTACACGTGTTTATTTACAAAACTTAAATCTACTCTGTTAAAATTGCACCACTAGTCATATAAAAGCTGTAGGGTGTCACCCATCAGATCTCCAGTCCTACTGCTCACAGCAAAGAGAAGCTACTGCCTTTTAAAAAACCTTTCTGATGTAGTGAAAGTTACTGTGAAATGGTTTTTATATGACATGTAATCTGGCACAAATCTTTATAACCTTGACAGAGTTCCTTTTGTGCTTGTGTTGGTGATTTTGTTGCACTTAAGCCATGGGGGCATAATATCTCTGCTTTTCCACAAAGGAATTTGGTTCTAACTTTTAGGGAAAGGACTTAGAAAGAGGGAGAGAGAGTCTGGCTGGTGTGGCTCAGTGATTGAGCTTTGAACCAGGAACCAAGAGGTCACTGGTTCAATTCCTGGTCAGGACACAGACCTGTTGTGGGCCTGGCCTCTAGTGGGGAGCATGTAGGAGGCAGCCAACTGTGGATGTTTTTCATTTGTTGATGTTTCTATCTCTCTGTATTCCCTGCCTCTCTCTCTAGGAATCAACAACAACAAAATATTTAAAAACAAAACACCAACTCTTCTCTGCCCTCTCTTATAAATAAATAAATAAATAAATAAATAAATAAATAAATAAATAAGAAAAAAATGTTTGGCCACTCTAGATTTTGCTTTTTTTTGAGTGTGTGTGTGTGTGGGGGGGGGTGGGGGGGGCAGGGGCGGGGGGGAGAGACTCTGAGCTAACAATTTTAAAATTTTATTAAATATTTCAAGGACACACATTTGTTAAAGAGATCAGAGATATCAAATGCTATAAGTATTCATTTAGCTCTGTTTACATCTTAATGTGTTTTTACCTTGTCAAAAACTTCTTCCTTCACTTAGTATTTACTGTCATGACTTGATCATGCAAATAGTTTATTTTCCATTTTACTATTTTAAAGTCTGTGACCTACCTGCTCACCTTTCTAGCAAAAGTGCAGCATTAATGCAACAAGCTGTATTCCACAGTACAATTAATGTTTGCATAAAAGTAAAATCACACCTAATGTCTGTTCGTGAATTAAGTTTAAAAGAATGTTTAGGTTGTGTTCAACAAGCAGGCACAGAATGATCACACTTTTATAGCTGTGTGTCACAGCCTTTATTACAAAAATGCATGTTTTATTATACTAATTACAGCCCTCCCCAAAAAATCGTAGTTAGTAAGAATAAACGAAATGGTATTAAACAAAGAACTAGTGCATGAAATTGTGACATGGTTTGCTCATGTTTTCATTCTGGTATCCTATTTTTTTTAATTTTTCGTTTTTTCCTTTTCTATTGTGGAGTCATTCTTCTTTAGTTGATTAGAGTAATGAAACCCTTTTCCCCCTGGGTCAGAAAACCAGTTATAAGAACCTTGAGTACCATTTCCTTTGTTAATTTCCCTTAAGAAGTGACTTTTTTGAACCACTGTATTGGAAGATAAAGCAGTTTTTGTTTGTTCATAGCACATCTATACTAATAAAAGCGTAATATGCTAATTAGACCCTACAGCCAAATGGCCTTCTGGATGTCATTCCAGATATCCTTCCGGACAAAGCCGTGTGGTGGAGGCTGAGGCAGAGACAATTAAGGGCAATCAGGCCAGCAGGGGAGCAGATAAGGTTGATCAGGCAGACAGGCAGAGCAGTTAGGGGCAATCAGGCAGGCAGGCAGTGGCAGTTAGGAGTGATCAGGCAGGCAGGCAGCGGCAGTTAGGGGTGATCAGGCAGGCAGGGGAACAGTTAGGGGCATCAGGCCAGCAGACAGAGGTGGTTAGGGGCGATCAGGCAGGCAGGTAGGCAGGCAGGTGAGTGGTTAGGAGCCAGCGGTCCCGGATTGCGAGAGAGATGTCCAACTGCAAGTTTAGGCCTGATACTTCTGGCTCAGGCCTAAACCAGCAATCAGACATCCCCTGAGGGGTCCCCGATTGGAAAGGGTGCAGGCTGGGCTGAGGGACCCCTCCCACACCCATGCACAAGTTTCGTGCACAGGGCCTATAGTAAAATCTATAATGACCTTTGAAATGTCCTTAATTTTGCTAACATTTAGCTGTTCAGAATTTGTCGGTTAAATTTAAATGTCTATCTGGTGGGATCGTTGAGCTGACAGCTAACAGCATGATGCTCACAGTGTGTCTGCCTCATCCATGAGTGAGGTTCAAAGTACCCTCCTAGGGAACGTTTCCTATTTGATTTATACCGAATCACATGTTTGTTTCACTTGCATTAAATGAATGATACAGATGTAAAGTGAATGTGATACAATAGTATTCTATGAGCAGTATCTTTTGCTTTACAAAATCAGCATCCCTTGGTTTGTTCTCAGCTTACCCAGCAAATGAAAGTGATCAGACCTGGTTGATCCTTACTCTCATTTGGCATTGCCTTTTCCCTTACTGCCAGGGAAATGGCTAATGATCTCCCTGCGTTATATCTGTGACCTTTGCAAACCTAAGATTAAATACTTTACTTTTAGATATTATATACCTGAAACAATTCCAAATTTTTAAGCTATATCAACTAATTAATGCATAGAAAATAGACACATAGTAACTAAATTTTCATTTCTTAAAATTTCAGGATAAATGAATTGAAGTGAGGGACTCTGACTTGCAGAGTAGTAAGATATGAAAGGAATGCACTTCTGTTTAAGGACCCTGACCTTGACTCATTCACTGTTCAAGAGAAGAAAACAAGAAAAGTGAATCTCATCTATAAGAGAAAGTAAATCATTGACTTTTAAATGGTTATTACAGTTAAGTATCTATTCAAAACATTTATGACTTAGTTAATAAAAGTATTAATGATCTGTGTTGTGTGCCCAATTGAGATTCAGATTGTTATTTTTCTTCAATTAGGAGCAAAAGTAGAGTGGGCAACTTCCAAGAATGACACCTTTCAGATTCTAGGACCTTTTGACTCTAGGTCAGCAGTATAAATTGGTTCAAGGTGAAAGTTACCTGGCACTAACCTGATGGTTACACAGAGATGTCACTGAAAAATGGTGGCTTCCATCAAACCTCAGGAAACTGAGGTTCACAGCCACTTTGGCAGTTATGGTGTTAGCCGGATAATGTATCTGCCACTTCTAAGTCAAGGGCATAGCAAATTAAGTAAAGACAGGAATTTAGTTGGAAACATTTGTGTGTAGCTTTTGTGCAATGTGATACTCTTGGATACCATGGTGTTCACTCTTGGGGGTTGCCATTCACACATTCTTCCTTCAACAGATTTAGGGTAATTTTTAAAAATATATTTTTATTAATTTCAAAGAGGAAAGTAGAGGAAGAAAGAGATAGAAACAATGATGAGAGAATCATTGATCAGCTGCCTCCTGCACGCCCCCTACTGGGGATTGAGCCTGCAACTTGGACATGAGCCCTGGACCTGAATGGAACCTGGGACCTTTCAGTCTGCCAGCCCACATTCTATCTATTGAGCAAAAAGGCTAGGGCAGATTTAGGGTAATTTTATTGATGAACGTCTTTTTCTTTTATTCACACAACCTTTCACCCCTGTCTTGTCCTCCTGTTGTTTGCTTCTGCTGTGCAAGATGTAGCACCTTTTCTCCTCTTTGAACATGGTCCAGTGACATGGTAGCGTCATTGCAGAAAGGAGCCAGACTTGTTCTCAGAGAACTGTGTTCACACGTTTCAGCAAAAATAGCGATGATTGTAACATATGTATTCCCTTCCTTGGATTTGAAGGCACAGTCTATGGTGTTTTTTCACTTCTCTTCTGATCTGGGGCATGAAAAACCAAGATGGAGGTTTTAACTGTGTGTCCCCTGCATGGCAACAAAGTGTGTGTCACTGTCAGGCCAATAGACCAGCCCTTGAAAGGGTGATTCTATAGCTACTGTATCTGTGTTGCATGATATACACCCATCATCTTCCTCCTGTGTCCTGCCTCATATCCCCCTGACTCCACAATTGAAAAGTAAAGCAAAACCCCCCGTTTTCTACTCCGTTAGAAGAAAATTAACGTTCCAGTGTGGTCACCTGGAGAATGTTTAGGTTATTAGCACTCATTTTCCTCCTTTGTGGGTGTATATTTGTATGTGCACCTGTGTAAGACAGGCACATGCTTCTTCTGTACAAACAATAGTGGGTACCTACAGGGGAGCAAATGCTAATTCATGCCTTTAGCAAAAACATTTAAAAACAAAGATCTTTATTGAGTGGGATTATGTTTTATGAGAATATTTGATCACTTAAAACTTTTAAAACTTCTAGGTCAGTAGCCAAGTCTTTTGACTGCTCACCAATACCCTCTAAAAATACTAGTGATTCTTCCTGCTTGTGTAATAATAAGACATTCCTATTTGTAGTCATATTATGAATACTTATTTCCCAGTCCACTGAATGTTCCCATGTGCCTCTTTAATGTCAAATTGATTGTCATATTTCATGTTGGGACCAAGTGGTTTGCCCAGGGTAAACCAGAATTTATGACCCGTGATGCCTCTCAGAAAACCAAACACACTATGAAGAGTGCGCTTCTTGAAAAAAAAAAGAAAAGAAAACTAATTTTTCCTTATTTGTGTTGCTGTCCAAAATATTATATTATGTAGAGGGAGCTGTATTTTTTATACAACTTGCATGGCTCCTGCTGCTCTTTGTTTTCTGAAAATATTTATGTTTTAGGAATATTGTTTGTTATTTTAGAAAACAATTTCATTGAAAGGAGGGAAAAAGCAGATGGACTTGAAAAAGATTGAAATTCTTATTCTCTATTAAGAAAAAGTCAGCTATGAAAATCTTTATAGTGAACTTTTTAATACACTAACATTGTACCTTTTAATATGCAGTAAGTTCTCCTTTATTTAGGGTTCAACTGGGACTTATCCATCCTTTGTGGTTTTTAACGCTGCCTATCTTTGGAGGCATTCACTGCATGAGACAAGGCAGAGAGGTAGCAGGATAAATGCCAGGTGAAAGCAAGTCTCGTTCTGAGTCATTGTCAGCTTCTCTGGAAAAGGGACCACAGATCCCTCTTGCTTGGGCATCATTGGGCCAGTTCACTCTCATTCAGTCAAACTTGTCATGGCTCCCAACTTTCTGTCGCACCTAATTAAAATTGCTAGCCTTGTTTTGGGGATCATATATCTATTTTCCCCCATAACCTGCTTTTTACTTTATGATCTCGTTTTTGCCATTGATTCTTCTGTCCAATTTTATTTATTGTGTGTCCTCAGAGTGATGCCATTTGTCATTTTTGCAGCAACCGTTTCAAGCTTTCTGGCCAAATCAAATTTTCCC